ACACACACACACACACATGTAAAGACGGGAATAGACAAAGAAAATAATCACGCACTCGCGAACATGTGGCGCTAACGAAAGGAGCCCGGTGGGCCACGTCGGAGTGCGGTGACTCACAACAGAAGCGCATTTTCGATCGGCCCACGAGCCGACTCTTTCATGTCACTTCATGCGATCTGCATTAGCAACCCGGCGTCAATTTGGGGAAAGCAACCCCCCTCCACGTACCTCTTGCCCAGCGGTGACAGTCTTCTCGGAACGAGTTTTTGCGTTGTTGGAATCGTCCTCCGGAGATGACATCAACGACAGCACATCCCTGTAAACTCCCAGCAGAAGGACCATCAAAAGTATGCGAGAGGGTTGCATCTTCACGGAGCGGCGCTGCCTTCGCCTCCTGTCGCCTTTGCCTTATGTCGCCTTTGCCGTTCAACACCTTCCTCGCTTTTATAAATTACTGTAATTGATCTGCTGGTTAACGAGCCAGCGAGCGAGCGAGCGAGCGATATCGAATCAGTAGATCGTTTGATCGACTTTCGCGCCTATCATAAGTCGCCTTCCGTACGCCCCCCGCCAACGAGGCAAAACCCTTTCGTTACTCGCTTAGACCGCATCGTCGCCCACGTTCATTCAATCGCCCGCCATCGCGTCCCACGTGCCGTTCCTGCCACACCATTCCCCGCGCATGGTGAAGGTTTCCCAACCAAATGTATCGCCGAACCGAATTTGATCATCCGCCGAACTGGGGCGAAGACTTAGGGCCAGATCCGACAGGCAAAGAGAATTGGAAGAAGTGTCTGAATCTGGGCGTGTTCCTCGCAAGGTGCAGAAAAGTACATCAATCACAAGTTTTCGCACCTGTCCACAAACACGTCCACATTCTGACACTTCTTCCAATCCTCTTTGCCAGTGGGATCTCTCCCCTAAGTACAGTGCCCACCGCAGAATGCCGCGGCTGGCGATAGACCGCCGCCTCGACGAGCCCGGCCAGGCCGTCGTTCCAACTACTCCCAACCAAAATATCGAAGTGACGAGTGTATGTTGCTGCAGAAGACGTCCAAATGCACTCGCAATTATCAAATATCAAAGTGAAGACTGCATCTTGCCGGAGAAGATGTGGAAATGCACCCGGAATTTTCAGATTTGGTGAGCGGTGCAACAACAAGGGCTGTGTCCCCGTCCCCGAATCCCATCCACCGCTATTACCCAGACTCCTGGAGCGCCCGTCGCACGATGTCGCACGATGTCGCACGATGGCGAAGCTCGCAGAGATCTTATGTCAGCAAGTACGACGTTCGCCTCGTCACCCCGCAACCAGCAGTAAAGCGAAGCCGAAAGTGACGTCAGGAACCGTGGGGAGCTGGCCAGGGGCATAGAGGGGCATGATGAGGGTAGGATGATGGGCTTCGCCGCCACGCACCCAAGGACCTACGGAAATTTCTGCTATGCCCCTCAAAGATGACGGCAATTGCACCATGCCCGCGTCAGTGTCTAGAGGGGAAGGGGGCAGGCAGGGAACGCAGCCCTGTGTGCGTGTGTGAGAGAGAGAGAGAGAGAGAGAGAGAGAGAGAGAGAGAGAGAGAGAGAGAGAGATTTCATTGCGGCCTTTGGGCTGCAAACACACATGCTGGAACCCAGTACATATACCCCAGCCTTAGGCTTGGTACCCCCCACAAATGGTGTACGCCTTCCAACCTAGTTTTGGGGGTCCAGGTGAAACGGTTGTCTTTACGAGCAATGGTTGTGGGTCCTCCACAAAATCGTGAAGGACCATTGTCTGCCACGTCGCAGCCCCAAGGTAGCCCAAGCAAAAAAAAAAAAAAAAAAGAGAGAGAGAGAGAGAGAGACGTTGAATGGCAAAAATGCGAGACGGGTTAAATTGCAGCCGTGATCTGTTTTGCGTTTAAAATGATATTTTGAAGGGAAAATTTGTCTGCCGCCCCTGTATTTTCCATTATTTGCGTTGCGCCCCTCCGACGGCCGATTTACCCTGTCGCGCCCCTGGGCCTAGAAATCTTTTCTGCAGATCCCTGTCTGCAGTGGGCGCATCCCTCAACTAGCGGTCCCATCCCATTGGGCTCTGCGGCGTCTGCGCCATATGCCCTCATAAAGGGCAGCCATCTTCCTGTACTGCCCCTGCAGAAGTGAGGCACTTGAAATTTGAATTCGATTTCAAACCCCATTGTTGACACGCCGCCGCTATTTTTCTTGACGTGCCCATGCAGAGAAGCTGCTGGAGTGCAGTAGACACTAGTCTCCCAGCTGCTTTCACCGCGGAGAAGCTGGTGAAGGCCACCCTTTTCTTTTTTTTTTTTTCTTTTTTTTTCTTTCCTGTCCCGCTGCTTGGAATTTTGCCGCCCTCTTCGTTCTCACTCGTCGCTGTTTCTCTGCTTTGTGTTCTCTTCCCTGCGAGTTTGTTTGTGTGTGTGTATGAATCTACCGCCAGAACTTGGAAATATACACTTCCACACTTGTTTTTGTGTGTGCATGTGTGTGTGTGTGTGTGTGTGTGTGTGCGCGCGCG